TTAATTTTTTTGCATTATTTATTATCTTTGTTTGGTTACTGAGAAACTAAAAAAGAAAAAGATATAATTTTTTACTTTTAGGTTAATGTATTTTTTGGTGGAATCAATGAACTTTGTAGTCAACTGAACCTAACTTCAATTTTTTTTTTAAATTTTATTTTTTGGTTTTGAGCTGATTAGTTTGGTGCTTGTTTTTTATGTGGCTTAGTTTCATTTTTTCTGTCACTGTTTGGGGAGTGGATAAATGTCAAATTAGGTTTCTTTGATATGAAGTGGAGCATTTAATAGGAGTAATTGAACTGCTTTCTCAAATCAGGTGAATTTTTTAAAATCAAGAATTCAGAGTATCAAGAAAGATTTTTATGTATTTTTCCTTGCTTTTCTAACCAATTAAATATAGTGGCTTATTAAATCTGATCTGGTGCATGATTTAGTTATCAATGCAAAGTTGCTCCTGTTGGAAGTAACTATTAACTATTTTTTACTGTTTTCTACGAGTTGGCATGATCCAAACATTTCTTTGTATACTGAAATTTTCTAGTTCTAGGTCATAGAATTTCTTTTTCTATTACTTTTTCTCTGGAATCCCAACCCCCCTACCCCTATAAAAAACCCACAACAACAACAACAAAGGGAGATCCTATTACTTGTGTTCCTAGGAAAGTGGAACAAAAGAACAATGAAGTTAAAAGCAAAGTTTTTCGTTTGAAAAATGATGGAAAATTTGTGACTAATCTAATATTTCATGTTTTCTTATTGGCCTTGCTGTTGTGTATATGTATATGTGATTTGTAATGAGATACACAACAATTGGTTCATTTACATATTGGTTGGATATTTAAGACATCTTGTTTATATGTAATTTTATATGTTATTAGAACAAAGGAAAAGCAAGTTAGCTAGACAAAATAGTGAAAAGCTGCATCAAGAATTCGAGTCTTTGAAGAATGAGTTTGAGATGACAGTTTAAAGATTGGATAAGCAAGAGGCTCAACATGACCAAGAGCTAAAAAATCTAACGCTTCAAAAGAAAAAGGTAAAGAGGCTAACATTAAATATACTGATAAGAAATCAAGCTACTGTATTATTTGCTCACTCTGGAATGAAAATACTTGAAATTCTATGCAACATGATCTATTTTGCATCAAATCATAGTATTTTTGTTTAATTATGGTTATTCTTTTCCTCTTCTTAGTGACAAGTTAAACTGTCGCATTAACTCTCTTGCAATCGAAAGCTCCAAGCTCTATGAATAGTGATTAAGCATAGATTGTACAGCTTGATGATTTGAAAAAAGAGTTGGATGAAAAGGTGGATGAATTGCAATGTTGGATAACTTAAACCAAACTCTTATACTTAAAGAGTGTATGAGTAACCTTGAGCTGCAGCGTGCTCTCAAAGAATTGATAAATGTAAGAGTTCATCTTATTCAGAGAAATGCTGACCCATTTTATTTGCCTTATGTCAAATTTCGATTGCACCAAATTATTGATGAACTGATTTCATGTTACTGGAATATAGGGTTTTCATGTTACTGGAATAAAGTTGGGATTATTGCACCATTGCAGATGGTTAGATCTACTTTGTCTATTTTTTTAGCCCTTAAAGTCAAGTTATACAAATATGTACTTGTATGTGTGACTGCATTATCTTTTAAAGGAAAATATATATTCTTTTTAATCTAAAAGTGAACTTGAAGAGATTTTTTGTTTGAATATAAGATTTAAACATATACTTCAAGTCCATTAACGAATTTTATACCTAATACCTCTAAAAAAATTAATAAATTATCAATGTTCTCTTCACTGCATCAGGTTGCCAAGGTTAAGGAGTCAAAGATGATAAAGCCTATAAAGGATATGGAATGGAAGCCAAGGAAGATATGTTCTATGTAAAGGATTTAAAGCCAATGAAGGATGCAGAGCTGAAGCTGAAGAATGATGTTAATATTGAGGACTTAAAATTAATAAAAGACATTGAGCTGAAGAATGATGTTAATGTTAAGGACTTAAAATTAGCAAAAGACAGTGAGCTGAAGCTAAAGAATAATAATTTCAATAACAAGGAGTCAAATGTAGAATCAAAGCCAGTGGAGGATATTTTTGATACTAAAGAATTGAAGTCAGTGAAGGAAAATGAGTTCAATGCATTGAAGGATGACGAGGTGAAAACATCGAAGACTATAGAGGAGATAAAGTTTGCTAAAGATGTGGAGGAAATGAAATCAAAACTAAATTACCTTGAATCTAAGCTAGCCGATGTAAGTTTATTTATATGACAAAGAATGATGCTTAATACTGTCAGTTAAAAAATAAGGTTGAATTATATTTTGCCATCATTAATTCACATCTATTGTCATGCCATACTATAAAGTTTCAGTAACACCATAAGTAATTTCCTTTTTAGGCTAAAGCTACCATTTCAAAACTGATAAAAGAGAAGAGGTTAAGCACTTAAGAAAGGAAGTTCTTACAAGAAGAACTAGTAAGTTTTCTGTCTATGCATTCTTCTTGTAGGTCCTTGTTATATGTTCCCTATCACGTGTTCAGTCATGGACAGTTCACATCATGCGCCCTAAGACACTTGATAATAGAAGCAAGCTCAACAACCACACTTGCCTGCAACACTCGCAGATAATTCCTAACAAAATTTTCTAGTTTCGACTTAAAAATTCTAATTTTTTTCAAGTAACCTAAGACAGGTATCATGTTTTTACACACACTACAACCATTCATTAAAAGGTATTCATTTGATATCATCAACAGTTGATCCAACTATCCAAGTCTCTATAAAAACTCAACACGCTCGACATAACATTAACAGTAGAGGGTAATTTTAGATTCTCTAATTCATCATAAATTATTCTTAAGGTTTTAAATGAAAATGAAGAGATTGATTTACCGGTAAAAAAAATTTTGATACTTGTAAATAAAATCTATAAAGGAGATGACTTTGGCTTACCTCAAAACTGTTGTCTGCTAGTAGCCTGGCACTAATGGAGATTACTTAAAGGAAGGCTCAGCTATTGCAATTTTTGTTTCTCAGAAGAGGAAGCGTCACTCCTAGGTACTAATGGTTGGTTGACTCGTCTGTCTTTCTGTCCTGTTAACTTTCCTCTTTCTGGCTTGATGGCTTTTTTTGTTGAAACAGAGGAAAGATTCGAAGGAAGAAAGCTAAATAGATGAAAGTTAAATGGATGAAAACAAGTGGGATGGCTGGAATTGGATAGGTGGATGAGAAATTTCGAAGAGGTCGGAAGAGATGAAAAGGATGGGACGAATGAAAAACAAGAACACTGAAAGAAATCAAAACTCAGAAACCCTAAAAAACAATTACATATATATATATTAAGGGTATTTTAGTAAATATCGTAGGTCGGGTCGGGTTTTATATAAACCCGACCCCGACCGAAACTGACATTTCAAAAATTAAATTCGACTCTACCCGATCCGAAATCCATTTTTTCAAGAAAAAAATTCGATCCTAAATGATCGGATCGGGTTAGAATCCGACGGTTTCGAGTTAATTTGTCAACCCTAGTTCAGTGAGTGTAAAGTACAAAAAAATGGTAGTCGTTGGGGGAGTGAGTGAAACTGTGAAAATTTTTGTGCACTGTACGGGTTTCTCCTTGTAATCTTGCAATTATCAAATTCCTCCCAGAAAGAATAGGAAAAGAACAATGTCTGCTCATATGAGTCCAACGCAATACAGAACAAGTCTCCCATTAAAAACTTTCCAAGATACTGGTGGGGCAGACCCGAGCCCACAACCCTTTTCACAAAGCAGAAATGCCTTAGTAAATCTAATGTCAATTTCAAGCCCTTTTATCTTAAATGATTTTTTATTCTATGCCTTCTGTCTAAAAGGCGCCAAAATACAACACCAAAAGACAACCAAATAGTTGCCTCCTCGCCTTGATCTTAAGTACTCTTCCTTTTTGCTTTGGTTGTGTCCCGTGAAAGAGACTGTACGTTTTCATACAGAAATTAATGAATACATACATGCATGAGATGGTGAATGTATTTGTATGGCCAAGCTCCTTCGTCACCAAAAATCTGAATTTCAGTTAAATTTTTTTTAGTAACAGACAAAAGAAGAGCCAGACAATGTGAATCCCACAAAATCCTAATGCCTATATCCTAGCCCTCCAGAGCCAATAATTCTGAATTTGAACCGACTTGAAGTGAAGGGCAATTGAGATACCAATTTTCTTGTTCTGCCTGTTGAGACTCAAAATTTCTTTTCTGGTTCCAATCAGCGTGCTTGAAAGCAATCACAGGTTGCTTCCAGCGATGTTGAAATGACATATTGGTTTACATTTTTTCTCCTTTCTTTCGAATCCAAAGTCCAAAATCTGTGTACGAGAAAAATGTGAAATCAAAGTTTTGGCCTTTGCCACCCAACCCTAACATCTGAGCCTCACATTCTTCACAATATGCTGCTTTCGATAACTATCCCCCCTTACTTGAATGGTCCAACTGATCAAATCAGTGTATAGGCAAAAAAACAACAGAGTTACTAGCTGGAGACCATCTATGAATATAGCTGAAGAAAAAACGAAACTATGTGACTGAATATCACAAGTTACAGGAATTTCACAACGGCCTTGAACCACTTGAAGCTAAAACCCAAAAAAAAAAAAAGAAAGGAAGTCTTTGAAATACGCAAAAGAACTACAAAAACAACAAACTCGAAGACAATATACAAAAGCAATTAAAGAAAGAGGAACAGCATCGGTCCCAGTTCTTTGCCATGGCTCTTTTCCCTTGGCACCTTCTCCTCTCCTCTCGATACCCCACCTCTCTTTTTCTCTCTCTCTTTAACCCAAAATTTTGACTTCCTCATCCAAACCATGCACACTGTAAATAAAAATTATTTTCTCCGACATGCAAATGAAATTCTTGTAACAATTCTTACCAAATAGTATATTACAAAAATGAAAATGGTAATAAAGAAAAACCCTTTATATAAATTGTCTCAACTACCCGGAAAGAAAAAAAATTAATTGAAAAATGCTCTCTCTTTCCCAGTCTTCAAGTCTGTCTCTGTGTCTCTTTCCCTAATACAAACGCTCTCTCTTTATCCAAAGTCAAATCCCTTACAGGCTTAAACTTTACCTATAGCACTTCTATATATAACCCATCATTTTTTCCTTTTCCTCTCAACGTATCTCTTCTTCTTCTGCTGCTGCTGCTGCTGCTGTCTCTCTTTTCTTTAACAATGGTGCAACACCGCCGCCGCAACCGCCACCGTCAAGACCAAGAGACAGTTGAAGGGAGCAAGGAAAAGAGACCCAAGTTCTTCATCAACGATCACGTAGACATCCTCGTAGAAATCCTCAAATGCCTCGACGGCCGTTCTCTTGGTGTCGCGGCCTGCGTTTGCCGTCTCTGGTGCACCATTGCTCGCAACGACTTCCTCTGGGAACACCTCTGCTTCCGCCACGTGTCTCCACCTTCCAGTGTGCGTTCCGTCGTTGTTGCCCTGGGTGGTTACAAACGCCTCTACACGGCTTGTGTGAGACCCGTGCGGGGCCGACTCGGGCGAGTCAGGAGGGCTTCTTGGACTTGCCACGAGATCCAGCTCTCGTTGTCTTTGTTTTGCGTTGATTGCTACGAAAGGCTTGGTGTCGTTGGTGGAAGTAATAGTAGTGACGAGAAATTCGTCGGTAAATCGTCACCATCGTCTCTAATGTTCCTTTGCAAGCCCGTGAACGTTTGATTAATCGTTGCCTTTTCCTTTTTTTTTTTTTTTCAGTTTAGTATACCTTAAAAATGAAAATGATGATAAAATTCTTTAAAACCTTTATCATTTTTGTTGTTATAATTATTTGTCAATTGTTACTAAATTTATCACTAATGAAAAAAGAATAAGTGCTTTTTGTTTCTGTTAGATTTCTAATTTTCTTCGTTTATTGAAGTAAATTGAAAGAAAATTGAATTAAAAAGCCTTTTCTGTGCTGTTTTGGTTTGATAGCGAATGATAAGTAAATGACCAAATATAATTTGGATTTATAGCAAGGCAGAAAATCTGTTGTACCTTTTTCTCGAGAAAAGAAACGACTTACGAGTTACGACACTAACCGTTACTGTTGCCCCAACTCGCTATCCTCGATAAGTTAAAAAAATTAACTTTTTCTTTTTTATATATTATAAAATAAAATTACCATTTTATGATAAATGAAATCCTAAAACCATGATTGGGACATGGTTGATAACTTACATAAGTTACCCATTGATCAATAAACCAAATAAGATTAAATATTAATGTTTTAATTATGCTTGATAGCATGTTATAAATTGATAACGAATCGAGAGGAGATGAATTTAGCTTGTTTTTATTTAGATTTGATTCTTTAGTAATTTTATTTGATTTTATCTCGATTCGATATTAAATAATTATTTTTTTATTTAATTTTAATATGATACAAATGTATAAAATAATTACAAATGTAAGTTACTGAAAAAAATATTATTATTTAACTATTACAATGGTTTGAATATTTAATTTTAACTTCAAACCCAATTAATATAGTAATAAGTTGGTTGGTATAAAAAAAAGGTTGTTTAATCCGTATCTCATGAGTTTCGATTTGATTCAATTTTTTAGAGATGATTTTTTTTTAATTGGATATCGGATCGGATCAGATCGAGTGATAGAATAAAAAATTGAGGTTGGATCGAGATTGAGTTTTAGACAAACCTGACCTTAATTAACCTAATATATATATATATAATATTTTTAATAATTAATTAATTATGTATATTATATTTATTTAATTTTATATTTTAATTAAAATAATATTTTATTAATTTTAGATCAAGTTGAGTACGATTTTATATAATATAATGTCAGATTTAGATATAAAAAAAAAATCAAATCAATCCGAATCAGATTCAAATATTATATATATAATCAAGTTAGGTTCAAAGCGAACAAAAACCCACTTGACTCAACCCTACTTGTTTTCATACATAGTTGATATACTTTTTTATTTTTTTAATTTGGATAAAAACAAAAGTATTGTTGTATATTGCAACAAAGCCATAAATTAAATATTTAAAATTATATAATAATTATAAATTGAGCAAACCAGCTATCCTTAATAAAAATTTTATTAAATGATATAACATGTCTATCCTCAAGGAAGAAAAGATCTTATGCTATCTTCAAAGAAGAAAAGACTTAAAAAAACTTAAGATAAAGTATGCTTTTTTTTTTTTGGCTATTTAAGATAAGGTATACCTTTTAATGACATATTTCATGGTCCACTCACTAATTTGCTTACAAATTTCAATTGAAATGATCATAGGTTATTAATAATCGTGTAATTTATTAATAAATTATTGGACATATAATTTTGAATATTAAAATTTAATTTTTGATAAATTTAATTATAAAAAATATAGGGTTAGAATTAGAAAAGCTAGTTGGCAATCTTATGTATTCATAATCATTTAATCTTAGTCTATATGGATCAACTAGGTATCAATCAAATTATACTAAAATAGTGTGAAACAACTACTTTTTACAAGTACAACCAAACAAGATTATTAATGTGAAAACCTGCATTTAATTTAAAAAATATTATCTACTTTAATTTAAAATTTTATAATTTTATCTCATAAAAGATATCTCATAGAGTTAAATTTAGATATTTATATATATATCATATCATATTCATATATTTTTTTAATGTGAAATTGAGGATGTCACAATTAAATACTATGATGTCTTGGCAATAGTCTAGTTGCTGGTCTAAATCCTTAAAAAAACAAAAAAGTAGTATCTAGGGTTTTAATTTCAAAATTTTCATACAAGAATTTAGCTAGAATTTGCATGGTATCTTAATTAAAAGATTTGAAATCAAAGTAAAATATAAAATTTAATACAATTAATTTATACAATCATTTTTTGAGACAATAATAAATAAATTTAGATTTTAAATTTTAATATATATAATTTTTTTCTTTTATTCCTTAATTATGCATGCAAATAAATAAATAAAATCACTTATAATCTTATGATATATATATTTAACACATCCAATATTTGAATTGAAAAAGAAATTAAAGTATTTTATGTTCTAACTTGATTTTACACATTAAAAAAAAAAAAAAAAGTGACCCATGATGAAAAGTGACAAAGTAAAATGTATGTAAAAAAGAATCTTATTTTGCTTTCCTTCCAAGTACCATATATATAAAAAAATTAAATTTTAATATATTTTTTTTCTTTCAATGGAAATTATTTATTATCAAAAAAAAAAAAAACAAAAAAATTGAAAAAAAATTATTAGCCATTACCCAACTGTACTTCTTTCCCCTACCAAGCATTTTCCTAAAGAAAGTAATTTTCTATTATAATTAATGTCATAATTATTACAATACTTTTAAATTTTTTATTTAAATAAAAAAATATACATAACTATTTTTTATTAAAGTAAATAAAAAATACTGTGCGTATTAAGCATCAGGGTACAAAATAGCAGGCCCAACATTCAATTATCAATTTTTATTATTAATTTTCGCCTGTCCTATTCCCCTGGTCGGCGATCGACGGAATCCGTATTTCGTTACTGCAGATTTTAATCCCTCAGAATTCCCAATTGAAAACCCTAATTTGATTCCTTTACTTGGTTCACTGTAATTCTCCCTCCCAAAATAGAAATTTGATTTTTTTGTTTCCTTTTTTAACTGCATTGAGATTCACGAATTAGCTCTAGATTTTGATTTGCTCAAGCTACAAGAGGACACGTGGCGATCTAGGTCTTTCTTCACTTCCATTGTTGCTCAAATCTCTGTGAGTACAGTTTTTTTTTAGTCTTTAACTTTAATTTATATGGAAATGTTTACTTGTACGCTTTAGTTTTGTAAAAAAAGTTTTAACTTTTTAGATAAAAGTTGGGTTAAATTACTTGATTTAAATATTTTTTGAGCTGTTGAACTTGGATCCGTTTGCATTTTTGTTGTTTAGCTTGGAAACTAGTGTGATTTGCTTTTCCGAATTTTTGCAAATTTAGCTGCTTTTTATGGGTTTTTTTTTTTTTTTTTTAACTGAGGAAATTGTGGGAAAAGAAGGGAAATTAGCTGTAAAGTTTACTTTTTTTTTTTTGTTCTAAGGGAATAACCCAACTCTGGATAATGCCTGGATTTGGTTAACTTTGATTGATTGATTGATTTGGCTTAAAATTTTTATCTTTTTTTTTTTTTTGCCTTTCTGTGGTTTCTCAGAAATTGAATAGAACTCAAAAGGTTAAGATCTTGAATTCAAGTCAAGTGTGTTTGAAAATTGCATGACTTGGTCAATTAGAGTTGTACTTGGAAAGACAAAGCTTGTTTTTGAGAAAGATCTAAATTTTGTCTTGTTGACCATATGCAGAAAGGAGATGGTTGAATATGACAATGCAGCTTCTTTTATGGTTAAGAATGTTGGATTGTTGTAACTTTTGTTTCGAGAGTTTGATTTTGAAAATAGTCTGAATTTCTGAATGGAAACAAACAAAGAGGAGGCTGTTAAAGCGAAAGAGATCGCTGAGAAGCGATTTTGTGAAAGAGACTTTGCAGGTGCTAAGAATTATGCGTTAAAGGCTAAATCGTTGTATCCTGGATTGGAGGGTATATCGCAGATGGTGTCCACATTTGAAGTTTATGTTGCTTCTGAGGCTAAATGTAACGGCGAAATTGATTATTATTCAATTCTTGGCTTGAAGCCTTCTGCAGATAAAGAGGCAGTGAAGAAACAGTACAAAAAGATGGCTGTGTTACTTCACCCTGATAAGAATAAATGTGTGGGAGCTGATGGGGCGTTCAAACTTGTGTCTGATGCGTGGACTTTGTTGTCGGATAGAATCAAGAAAAGTTCCTATGATATCAAGAGAAACAAACAGATGCTTTCTGGAGTGGTTCAAACTTCAACATATGCTACTGGGGTTACAGGTGTCAGCAACTGTGCAAATTCAACCTCACAAGGTAGACTTGATACTTTTTGGACTGTATGTACATCTTGTAAAGTTCAGTATGAATATCTTCGGAAGTATGTCAATAAGAGACTTTCATGTAAGAACTGCCGAGGTACTTTCATTGCTGTTGAAACTGGGTCAGCCCCAGTGAACGGTTCTTTCCCCTATTGCCCTTGGTCTTATGTGCCAAGTAATGGATATGGAAGTCATGGATATGACGGGGTCACATATGTCCCAACAAATGCTATTTTTTTTACTGGAAATGGGATCTCAGGTTATCATTCTGGGCATGGATACGACTATGTTTCTAACATGTCATTTCAGTGGAACTCACTCCCTGGAACTTCTACTGGGATTGTGGGCCATAATGGTGTGTCAGCCATTTCCACTGATGCCATTTATCAGACCAACGGGGATACTAGAGGAGCAGGGTCAAAGGTGAAATCAAGTGCTGACGGAAAACATTCAATGAAAAAGTTTGCCGCTCAGACAACTCCAAATTTGTCCAATGGCTATAATGAGTCTTCAGGATCTAAGACTGGTAGACTTGAGAAGAAAAGGAAGGTTATTGTTGGTTCCAGTTGTAGAAATGGATATGAAGACAACGGATTAAAATCTTCAGAAGCAAGATTAGCAAATGGAAATCGTGTTGAGCCTGATCCAAAGCTTTCCAACCCAAGTGAACCTCCGAATAGGCAATGCTTAATGGCACCGGCATTTGATGCTAGAAAGGTGTTAATTGACAAGGCGAGGACAGAAA